CACCCCGAACGGTGCCAGAGGTCGGGGGGGACAGAAGCCGGGAGAAGGGGCACGAGTGGCGGGGAGGGGAGCGCTTCAGAGGGAAATGAAGACAGGAAGCGATGCGAGTGCCGAGTCCCCGGCGGGCGAGGGCTCCGTGTCCCACCGGACCGTGTGGTCGGTAGGACAAGCAGCTCCGCTTGGTTTGGATGTGTCGGTGTTTTTAAAAAACGAATCCCAACCCTTGCCATTACGTTGAATTGGCCAGGTTTTACCACAGTACAAGTGACAGGTAGCTTTGCCTGAGTTTAAGGTGTGTGACATAATGACTCGTGGTAGGTACATGCTGTGAAGAGGCCACCACAGTGAGGTGGGGTGACATCTGTCCCCTCACATGTTCACACGCGTTTTCCCGGGACGACGAATTTTGAGATCTACTCCCTTGGCAACTTTCCCATTCACAACGCAGCGTTGTTCGGCGCAGTCCCCGGTCGCTCACTCACCTCCTGACAGCCGCACCCCATTCCCCGCCCCCGCCCCGCCTCTGGGAGCCCCCAGCTTGCTTTCTGTTGCTCTGGATTTCCTTGATTTCCTGCCAGGCAGAGCTGGTGGAGGAAGAGGCTCCTCCTGGCAATGAAATGAACCAGCGAAGGTGTGGTTCGGGGAGAAAGGCCCCATTCTGAGATGGGCGAGTTGAGCCCCCTGGGATTTGCAGATGCCACTTCCTGAGTCCCTCTGGGACATCGAACGGGAATGTAGACAGATGAGGGATGGCTCCGAGTTCAAGTCCTGAGCTTGCAGGGCCGCACCTGCCCAGACGGGGCCCTACCACCAGAGTAGGGCCAGAGACCCTACCACCCACAGCCCCAAATGAATGGCAGTGACGTCCGCTTGCTGGTTTTCAGGTTGGCGAGGAAACGTTCCTCACCTGTGTGCGGCTCACCTAGACGTGCCTTCTCCTTCCTTTCCTTGTTCATTTAACGGATGCTGACGGAGCACCTGCTGAGCACAGTGCTGAGAAAGACCAACTGGGGGCTGCCCTCGGACTAAGCTTCGTCCTATTTTGATGACGATGATGATGATGATGATGATGGTGATTTGGCCGGGTTCTCCCCCTCCCTTGGTCCACTCTACCCTTCTCTCCCCCTCCCAGCCTTGTAGTGGGCTGAGGACAGGGGTCCTCAGAGAGAAAGAGAGGGGCCGACTGCCCAGTCTCTCTCAGGGCTGGAGTTTGAGGGTGGCCAGAGGATCTCCCATCCATGCAGGTCTGTTCTAGCAGGAGCCTCTGCTGGGGCTGGTGCCTATTTGTGTGTTGGTTTATTTTTTGCAGAAGACACTTTTTAGAAGTCCCAGTGTTTATTTTTCTATCTTTTCTCCCTAATGGCAAGAATCCCAACAGGAGGCCTTTTGGGGCCAGGGCACCAAAGGCAGCCCCAGCCGTCTGCCCCCTTGGGAGCAGAGATGGGAGCTGGGCTGGCTCTGTAGCCACCATGGGCCCCGGAGACTTTAATTGGCAGCTGAGATGGGGGACGGGTGGGAATGTGCTGGAGAGACCTTCCCTGAGACTGAACCCTCCCAGCCTGCTCCCTGTCCTTGCCCTTGGTAGGCCCACACCTAGTACTTTCCAGAGCCAGGCCTTTCCCCGGGATCACGTCCTTCTGGGGCCCCCACTACCTATGTCAGCCTTCCTGGGAAACTTCAGCCTCTGTCCACCCCCAAATTATTTTGAGGGCTCCCCCATCTAAAGTGAGGGGGTTGGATCCTGAAGAAGCAGGTCGAGGGGGTGGGGAAGAGTCCTGGCCACCAGTGAACCCATGTGCCCACTGGCCCTGGGGTTCTGCAGTGTGGGGGGAGGCCCACCCCCTACAGCAGGAGGCACAAGGATATGGACATTGACGGTCAGCAGTTGGAGGCTCCCTCCTTACCTCTGGCCCCGGGCTATGCGCTGGCAGAGGCCGGAACCACAGGCATCTGCCGCTGTGCTTGGTGCAGGGTGGGACACAGTGAGTGTGGTTCCCGGGAGGGGGACGATGCAGCTCCCTCCCCTGTTGGATTTGGGACAGTAGGCCGTGGCCTTGACCCTGGGCCTCAGCTAGGCAGGCCTGGCCGCCTTGTGCTGTGAGCACCGCGGGCCTTCTGCTGTCCTTTTTTTTTTCCTTCTTTTTTAAAAGATTTTATTTATTTATTTGTCAGAGAGAGAGAGAAAGCGAGCACAAGCAAGGGGGAGCGGCAGAGGGAGAGGGCGAAGCAGGCTCCCCTCTGAGGAAGGAGCCCGATGCTGCGGGACTCTATCCCAGGACCCCGGGATCCTGACTTGAGCTGAAGGCAGACGCTTAACTGACTGAGGCATATGGGTGCCCCTTTTCTTTTCCCTTTTCCCGGAGCCAGCCTTGGGGCCTGGAGAGACTTCATGGCTCCTTACTTGCTTGGCCTTTTGTCTCTTACCTTTGTCTGTTTTGTGAAGATGGAGGTGGGACCAGTCCCTCCCGCTGGCAGCCGGTGAGTCCTGTGTCCCTGAAAACCCCAGGGCAGAGGCCCCCGGTTCTGCACCGTGGGTGGTGGATGGTCTTTTGTCCTGCAGAGTAGGGGAGACCACGCAGTTTCAATCAGGGACAGGCTGTGAAATGAACTCTCATTTAAGGACACAAAGGACAACCAGCCGTTGGTGAGGCCGGCTCTCGCCCGGGGTCCCCGAGGCCTGGCCGGGGCAGGGCTGCTCGCCCCGGCGGGGGGTGGGGGGAGCTCAGGGCTGCTGGTCCAGTCCCAGTGACCCCACGGCCCATGCTCCCCCATCTAAGTGAGCACTTCCGGCTGTGTACCACCCAGCAAAGTGAAATAAGCTCTCCTTTCCAGGCGTGCACGGCTCCCGAGGGGGGTGTGCAGAGTCGGGGCACTGGGCACAGAGCTCAGCACACGAGTGGCGGGGGGCCGGTGGGGGGGACGTGAAGACATCACGTTGGAGAAGGTGACCGGATTTCACGAATTGTACATAACCATCCATGTGCTGGGGAGAGAGGAGTTTGGGGGCTCCCTGGATTCTTGTACAGCCCCTCTCCCCTCACTGTCTTTGCTCCCTGTGCCTTGTCATTTGTCCTTCTTGGGTTTAGGTCCCCGTGGCGCTGTCTGCCTGTCCACCCTGCTGCTGTTCCTGTGGGTCTGGCGCAGAATGAGTTCCAGCCCTTGCCTTCTGTGCCGGCTGCTGAGGGTCAGGCGCTTGGTTCTAAGAGAAGCCTGCCTACCTGCCTTGTCTGCCCACCAGCTTGGTCACCACCTGGAGCTGCCTCTACCGGGGCTCCCCTTCCTCCTGCTGGGCCTTCCCCTAGCCACCTCTCCCGCTGCCTAACTTAGCACCAGCCCAGGAGAACAGATCACAGACTTGCTTTTCCCATTGACAAGTGGCCTCCCGGAGCTTAGGGCCGTTTTCCGTTCTCTCCGATGCCCAGCTCCTGCAGTGTGCATGGATGGCGTTGGATGGTCACTGGAAAGGCGGGCGGGGTCTGGGCGTTTCTCTGCGGTTGGCGGTGCTCTGTGGGGTTGGCCCTGCCATGTGGGATGTGGGTGGTTCTCCTTTAAGGAACTGGATTTTAGGAAAAGAAACAAACTGGTAGTCTTTTCTTTCCTTTTTTTAAAGCTCCGTTGTGGGATTTCTGGGGACGTGCTAGCAGGAGCCAGTCCATGGAGGCGGGCTGGGGGAACCAGTCCCCGGCCAACCTGACTCAGGACCCTGCCCCAGAGCCAGTCTCTGGGGGCTGACCAGAGAGGAGGTCCTGAACAGGGTCTGTGTCCCGTCTGCCTGATGGCACACATATGGGGTGGGGGTGAATGAAGCAAAGAAAGGACTTCCAAGGCCCAGGTACCCCCTACCTCCAAATAGCAACTAACCAGCCCCCTTGTGTTTCCTGGGAACCCTGACTCTGGGGTGCGATAAAGGACACTCTTCTATAGAAGCCTAATGTGTGCATAGGGGAGAATAAAAGGGGGTCGTTCATGCCTTCAGTCCTTCACTTGACAAACCCCGAGTGAGCTTCGGCTGTGTGCCAGGCATGGGGTAGGCACTGGGGATCAGTATGGAGGAAAAGAGACCCAAGTGCTTGCCCTCAGGGCACTTGCATTCCAGGGGCGATGCATCTGTGTGGTAGCAGATGTGATCGGTCCTGGGGGAGGTTCACGGGGAGAGGCAGAGGGACTGCCGAGGGGGGCGGCCGCCGTGTTTGATAGGGTGTTCTGCTCGGGGTTAGCCACTGGAAAGGTGCCATATATCAGAGTCCCGAGGGAGGGAGGGGCGAGACATGCAGTGATGTAGGGAAGAGAGTCCTGAGCAACGCAGGTACAAAGGCATGGTGTGTGGGGGGCAGCCTGGAGGCCCGGGGGCTGCAGGGGGTGGGGGCACTGCCTAGGGTCCCAGGGGCAAAGGAAGATTTACCAGGACGCTATGAACCCACACACTGAGCAAGACCCTGCAGCCTATTTTTGCCTTCATCATCCTAGACAGCCCCCCAAATCGTGTAAGCGTCGGGGTCCCCAAACCTGGTTTCACCTGGCATGCTGGCCACTGTAGCAACTCTGGGTGTTTTCTCCCAGTGACACAGGACAGTGTTGGAGGGATATGTCAGGAGAGTGACATCACCCAAAGAATCTTTTAAAAAGAGCGGGACCAGAGAGTTTTGGCAATGGTGGCAGTGGGGGGTCCTGGACTCTGCACTGGGTGAGGCAGGAAGTGCGGGGGGAGGGGGTGCGACCAGACTGGGTGGGGCCAGCACGGGGGAGGGGGTCAAAGAACAGTTGGGGGGTGCATCACGGTGGGAGGGCTGACCACACAGCAGGGGGCGGCCCACCTGCCGTTTGGGGATAGGGTCCTAATGCTTTGTTTCCCCAAGTTCCTCTCCGTCCCCTGGGGTGTGATCCCTGGTGGCCACACCCCCTCTTCTCTTGGGTACTCACACCTGTGTTTTTTTAATATTGAAAAGAGGATGTTTGCTTCAAAGGCATTTACATTTTTTTCTTTTCTTTTCCTTCAGGTTGAGAATCTGTCTCTGAGAACCTGAAGCCCTTCCTGTTGATTCTCACTATTTTCCCAGCAAACTTCCACCCAAGAAAGTTCCAGAAAGAACCCCCGTGGGAGACCTCCCTGCTACAGCGAAGCAGACCTCACCCACCACTACCAGGTAAGGCTGCCGCCGGCCAGAACAGTCCTGGGAGTCTGGGTTTGCGACGGAAGAACATTTTTTTGGCACAAGGGAATGACAGGGTGGGGACGTTCTGCTTGCTCTGGTGTGAGGATCGCCGTGTTTTGGGGGGGCTCGGGGGTAGGATGGGGAGTATCGGCAGATCCCTAGGAATGTGCTGGCTTGAATTTGTAAGGAGTACCTGCCGTCTGTGACCTGAAATCCATCAGCCTGGCTGCAGAGTTATTATCCCAGGAAGGAAGGTGGACGGGGTGTGGTGTCCCCTGTCTGGTGTCCGTGCGAGACGCTGCAGAGGCCGAGGCTTGGTCTGACCTTCCCCTGCCCAGATCTCCCTGCAGCCCCTCGAGCAGCACTCATGCCTCCACCGGGCTCCAGAGGGGACCACCTGATGGCTCCATTCCACTTCAGCTGTGGCAGAAACCACCCAAGGTTAGCAGGTTAGTGGCAGACCCCTGCAGGCTCGGGGCCTGTCCCCCATCAGGCCGCCCCACTTCAGACGCCAGCCACAAGTCTTCGGGGCCACTTGCACTTCTGACGTACCAGCTACAAATTCCCATGACCTCAGTTTTGATAATTTGCTAGAATGACTCTCAGAACTTAAGAGCCATACTGATGGCTACGTTTTTATAATAAAGGACACACGTAGGATGAGGTCTGCCCTCCCTCTGTAGGGTTAGAACAGGTCACCCTTCCAGCATATCCACGTGTTCACCCGTCACCAAGCTCCCTGAGCTTTGGGTGTCCATAGTTTTCCTGGAGTCCTATTATGTCATCGGCCACAAGACTGGACCCTGTCTCCTGCCCCTCTCTGTCCCCTGAGGGAGAAGGGAAAGTTCAGCTCTCCAATCGGTGCCTCTCTCGAAGGACCCCAAGCCCCGAGGCACCCAGTTAGCGGGAAGTCAGGTGTGGGAATAACAGATGACACTCCCATCCCTCGGGAATTCCAGAGGCCAGGGACAAAACCAGACAGGGTCTGGATCACATCACCAGGAAGCTTAGTGCAGCCCCGCTCCCTGCCGAGACACTGCCCAAAACTGGAGGGGCGGGCTCATCCAAGGCAGGGCAGGAACGACTCGAACCCCTCGCCCTGCCGTCCGCCTGTGTGCTAACGTACACGATGCCAACGAGAATTCTGGGCAAGGAGCCGAGCGCACAGGCTGCTCTCTCTAGTACCCTTTAAGAGTGCACAGAATCAGATTCTGTACCGGGTATCGGGGCATCTCTGGGCATGCGCTGCTTATTTCTGCCTCAGGGTGTTTGGGGCCTCTCCTTCAGTGGGTTGATGTGCACTGACTGGTCTGCGTGCTGTCATTCAGCTGTCCTCGAGCACCCTGACGTGCTGACCCGGTGGTGCAGGCCGGAGACGGGGAGACAAAGCCAAGCCCTTGCTGTTTACGTTCCAGTGGGATGAACCCACATGTAGAGTAATGTCAGGTAGTGCTGAGGCTCCCCCAGGACAGTCCCGGGCAGGCCCCGGAGGCCACTGCTCTGGGCAGAGGCTGATGGGAGCGAGGGTGGGAACCAGCCGACGAGGCCTGGGGAGAGAGTGGTTCTGGCAGAGGGTCTGGTGAGTGCAAAGGCCCCGAGGCATGTTGGAGAAGTAGCAAAAAGGGCTGGTCTGGCAGGGTCGAGTGGGGGAGCAGGGGAGGAGGTGCAGGGTGTAAGTCAGAAGCTTCTGGGCCAGGAATAAGGATTCGGGATTTTGTCTTAAAGACGGTAGGAGCCATGGAAGGGCTCTGAGCAAGGGGTGGAATCAGCAGATTCGAGTTGTATGCGGATGACATTGCCTTCTGTGTGGGGATGGACGGGGAGGGAAGTCAGAGCAGAAGCAGAGAGCCTCGAGGAGGCTGCTGCTTGTCCCAGGGAGGGTGGCTGTGCCGTGGACCCAGGGTGAGAATGGTGGGCCCGGGGACATGTTTGAGATGAGAATTCTAAACAACCACCCTTCTACACTGAAATGACTCTGTCACCCCATCGCTAAACCTTTGGGGACCCCTTAGAGAGCCCGCAGAGGAAGATCACACCCCCTGGCTGTACTGGGACAGAGGAGCCCGGTCACGTGCTGGTTTGGAAGGTCTCAATCCCATGGGACCTTCTGATTCCTTCAGCTCTGGGGTCCCCACGGTGTTACCATAAAACCACCTGCAGTGGGCACATGGCCTAGGGCTGACCTCAGTGTGGGCCAAGCCCCCCTGGGGTCATGCACTGTCCCCTAAATCTCAGGATCCTGGTTCTAAGCCCGTGCACACGGTGCCGCCCCCGAGGAAGGGCACCAGAGCGCCGACATCCTATGGGCAGGTGACCCCTTGGAAGACACTTTTCCCTGAAGGCGATTGCAGGGTCCAGCCTCAGGGAAAAAGGTCAATTCTTGGGGTTGTCAAAGCCAAAAGCACCAGACCAGCCGGTCCCTGATGGCAGTTCTGGGGAATTCGGGGCTCATGGGGGCCTTCACAAGCTACTGTCGACCTGGAGCTGCTCCCCTCTTTCCAGCCTCTCGTTGATCCGAAGGCAGGCTCTGAACTGACGAAATGGGCAGTGGCCATTTGCATCTCCTTCCTCCCGGGGGGCCGAGTCGGGGAGAGAAGCCACCAGGGGAAGACTCCGGTGTCCCAGCCATGCCCAGCAGTTTGAAGCCTGCAGAGGAAGCCGGGCTGTATTTTGCCTCCACTTCAGGCAGGCGGTGGGTCTGGGAGCAGTGGTCAGGGGAGTGCCGGCTCCTGAGCCCTGCAGACACCCTCCACCTGGCAGCGCGGCCCACCTGGGGTCCCCGCTCTTCTCGAGGAGGCCCACGCAGGGACTCCAGAGGGAGCCAAGTCCACCCCCAGCGCCCCAGTGCATCGGGTTCTGATGTCTGGAAGGAAAGTCAGGGAGAGGAGCCGACCGGCCATCCCTCCCCCACTGCTGAGGCCCCTCCCCCAAATTTCGTCACCCCACCCCCCACCCACGGAGCGCGCCTTGGCCTCTGCAGAGGTGGCGGGCAGGAGAGCCGGCTGGGGATGGGGGTCTGGGGGAAGCTGGGGGGGAAGGGCTATGAGGTGCTCCTGCACACCTTCCATGGTGGTAGCGAGTCACTGGGGAGGTGCCTCCTCAGAGCGCTTTGGGGTCAGTCACGGGCAAGGGCAGGGCAGGCGAGAAGCTGCCAGAGCCTCTGCTGTTCCATCCCCTTGGACACGGGGGACCATTCAGTGTAGCTCCCCATCACACAGAATCGTCCTTGCTGGGGGCCTGGGGGGCTCACCTCCTCTACCTTGGAAACGGTCCCATAAATTAGATCCCATTTTAAGGCTTATCCTTTAAATATGGATTCAATTTGGATTTTACTGTAAATTCTGAGTCCCTTTTAAAAACATGGATGGAAATTAATCTGCTACAAAATGAGATTTGTCTCTTATGTGCGGTGGTGGAGGCCTGGGGCAGATCAGTGCTTCAGGGCGCTGGGGAGGGAACCCGCTTGCCAGCAGCCTGGAAAAACTCATGGCGGGTGTCTTGACTCTTCCATCCCCGGCCCTCCCCTGACCCTCCGTCCTCCTTGCCATTCTCACCTGACCGTCTGAATCCTCCCAAACTGCTGAACCGCTGTGCTGTGCGTCAGGGTCACTCCGACGAAGCAGAGGGTACCGCTGGCTATTCCTTCTCCAGATGTTTGTGGGGTGGGGGGGGCCACCTCTGGAGCCGAGCGATTAAAAGGTCTTCTGCCCTGACCTCCAGCCCCTCCCAGGGTGCTCCTGAAGCCTGCAGGGGAGGAGAAGGTCCAACCACAGTTCACTCTTCCTGCTCACGGAGACGGGCTTTGGGCCGGGCCAGAGGCACTTGCTCAAGTGCGTTTGAAACATGGCCCTGTACGGGGCATGCGTGTGCCCGAAAGCAGGGGCTGCCCGGCTCTGGTGTTGGGGCAGAGGGTGAGCGTGTCATAACTCTGTAGCCGGTGTACATCGGGCGTTGCCCCCTTCAACACGAGAACCCCAGCCCCCCGCCCCCGCCTTGGGGACGGACCCCTGAGCTGCCATGTGTGATTTCCCATAAATCATCCCCGAATGAGTGCGCTTCCTGCACCATCCATCACACCCCGTCTCTTGTCTGCTTGTTTTTAAAAGCTGTTAAACTGGAATCCATCACATGGCATCCTCGGGGGGCCAAGCTGAAGCAAAGCCTGCCCGCGTCAGCAATATTAATGTACACAGAGCTTTCTAGAGCATCGAGGTAAACGTCTCCCCCGTGGTGGGGAGAGGGAGAGCACGGCTTTATCTAGTTGCACCAGACGCCAATGGGATGTTTTTCTGACGCTTGCAGTTAATACATCCCTGCCACGCGTGAGGGAGTCCCAGTTGCTGCTGGTGGGGCAGGGGATGCCACCTGAAGGGTGCGGCCGGTGCGTCTGCCTTCTCCTAGGGTCATCTCACTTCTTCCTGGACCTGATAGTTCCATTTGAAGACTCTAGCTTGAGCCCGTCTTTGGAAACATGGATCCTTCTAGGAACATCCGTGGTTCCTCTTTTCTTGCTAAATGTTTTTTGGAAAGGAGGATTCAGGGAGGGTGTTGAGATCGGCTTTAATCCTTGCTTCTGAGCACTTGCTGCTGGAACGGGTTCTGGGGATGTGCCCTTGAGGAAGGGAGAGGAGGAGGACCTCATGACTGACAAGTACCGCCTCCCCTCCGTCCCCTGCCCTTCCTCCAGGGGTGTGAGGAAGGCCTGGAACCTCCCCAGCAAATCCTTAGCACCCACGGAGTTGAGCAGCGTGGCTTTGCCTCCAGGAGCCCCTCTCCCTGTCCCAGGCAGGTGTTGCCAACCTTGGAGGCAATGGGAATGCGTGATCCCCATCTGCTTCTGGCTTCCCTGCTATCCTTTTCTTTGCCCCATATTTGTTGGTCGAAGAATAAAACTGCTGTCAGCACTGGTGAGACATTTGTAAAAAATAGAGCAGGTCCCTGTTTTCTCCTGGTGACTCTGGAGCTGTGTCAGTGAGCAGCCATGGGGGCTG